ATATTAGGGCTTCGAGCAGCATAGAAATATTCCTGGTCGAGCTAGAAAGGCCTGCAAAGCATTAGTACATAAGGGTAGACATTTACATGAAAAATAATTGGTTTTGAAGTGTGAGAATAGTCCAAAAACGTTGTTCTAGCGTATGAAGATGTGAACTGAGAGAAGTAATGGGATCTCGCAAGTTTAGGTACAAGAAAGCTCGTTGATACTAGAAAGAAATGATGTTGCAAAAGCTGAAGCCTGATTAGAAAATTTTAGTAAAGTGTTTCCCATAGAAGATAGTGAAAAACCAATAATTAATCGTGATAATGGCAACTTGTTGATGAAGTCTGTGGTTATAGATAAAGGAACTTTCATATGATTACTCCAACATCTCATACTAGAAAGGTTTAGTGGTCCTGACCACATTTGTCCTAGAATAATGAAACCTTGATGGGCTTAATTGCTGAAACTCTCACCATATTGTTGGATATATCTTCGAGGCTATCCAAACTGCCAAGAGACTGGGTTGACATAATTATCAGTCTGGTTCATAAAGCGGGGGTAGGGACTTAGTAACTATCTACCCGTTAGTCGAACAAATGTAGTTGTCAAATTGATGTAAAAAATTATTCAGATGGTTACTTTAAACTATATGGAAGGACATAATCTTTTATCCAAGAGAAACGTGCCTTTTGCAAAGACCCATCACGCTTGACAAATCTGCTCATTGCATGAGACAATTTTGTTGTGGCGAAATTTAGAAATGTTCCGGTGGATGAAGTCGTCATATTTCAAAGCAAAGCCTTTGACAAGGTATCTTACATGGGTCTTAAACTAAAACTTGTAAGTTTCGCGATCCACTATTAAATCATAAACTGGTAAGTGACTTTTTCGACTATAGAAACCAGAGACTACGGGGAAGCGTGACTTTGTCACCGTAGGAATCTGTAAACTGTGGAGTTTCTCAAGGTGAAATTCTCAGCCCTATTCTTTTTTAAATTTTTGTCAATGACTTATCAACGGCAGCAAAGTCATCCGTTCCACTCTCTGCAGGTGACATATAGATTTGGAGAGAAATGCATAGTATTTCAGGTAGAATGACGCTAGAAGATGACCCAACTACACTGGTTACGTGGATATGTAGGTGGTTATTAGAAGTTATCTCTATCAAGATTGTGATGATGCAAACAAATAACTGGGACGATTCATATCAACACTAAATATATGGAGTTGCGTCACTTAAAGTAATGGGCAGTAAAGATCTAGGAGCAGCAACATCGAAAACTTGAGTGACTGAATGGCTACCGCTGACAAAAGCTTCAGGGCTTTATAAGGTAGTTGTAAGCCACTACAGTACCTGGCGGAAGAAATATCTAAGGTATTACACTCAACATTTGTGAGGCCGCATTTGGAATATCGGACTCAAGCACCGAATCATTGTTTTAGGTATTGGGCAAGAATGCTAGAATGAACTCAATGAAAAGGGGTTAAAAGGGTTAAAGTTTTTTCTGACTTACCTTATAAAGAAAGACTGAAACGCATCAGCCTAATTCCGTTATAAAACTGCTGGCTACGGAGTGGTCTAATATTGGCTTATCGTGAAGTGAACGATGATTTTGGTAGTAATATATACAATTTTTCCTTTGAATCCAGAAATGATCATCTGAGAGGACATCGTATGAAAGTTAAAAAAACAGATCAAATGTTTTACACCTGTAGTTCCTTTTCTCACTGAGTAGTGAACGACTGGAACTCACCATCAAAACACATGGTTTCGGTGCTGTAGTGTCAGTTATTATGCCAAGCCCATATACCTTATTTTAGCTTTCGGACGTCCTATTTTAATTCATTTTACTTGAGCCATATTTTGACCTTGTCAATTATTCGCTTGTCAGTCTTCATTGTTTTTATATGAGCGTATATATGTGTGCCCTTCTTATTTCATTAATCACATGTCTGTATCTTTATTTTGTCTGACTATAAATATTGAGTAACGCTTAGTTAAAATGGAGTTGGCTTCCCAGCCATCCTCCCTATGCGTCATTTTGCTCTGTTCTATTACATTCACTTTACATACAAAATATATGTATTCTCGTTATTTGACTTATTTAATTCCGTTATTGGATAACGCGATCTAAGTCGACGATTATATACGAGAATCAGCGATAACAAACATCTCATAAACATTTGGTAAGCCCGCCGACGACGAACGCAACGCAGCAAGCTACGTCGATGAATGAACTTCTGAACTCTATACGTTCAACGAACGAATTCAGTGAAGCCAGCGCAATTCCTCTAATCCGACGCACTCAGCAAAGCCTGTGCAGCACGACATGGACATGCACAAATCTTATTATCTTATTGTTACTTTGTCCTCATGTCAACTATTCTCATTGATCCATTCGTCGGTTTGTTCAATTACGATTCAAATTATCATTATATGCTAATTATTACATTATTATCAATATCATGACCGAATGTGGAATTATTAATCTTGTTCGTGCTGTCATTAACTTATGACATTTTCACAATCATATCACTCACCGAAGAAATTATCATTTTATGAAAATTCCACTACACTTTGTGAGAACTCATTGGAATATTTTTACTATCCAAAACGTGAAATTTTCCTGCTTTAAGTGAGTTCGTTCCAATTTTTTCCATGTCATTTTGACCTAATATTACATTCATTCACTTAGTCGAGGTCATTATTTTATGTTACCACAACATACCTTTTTCATTTCGAAATCGCCTACCATTATGTCTGTGGATGCCTCTAGCTAGCTGATTAGAAAACATTACGTTCATTTTATCTATTCTTCCACGTGCATAACTACATGCTGCATCACTTATCACTCAAAAACGTTATTCGAGTACTGCAACTACTATTCTATACCCATCGCTCGGTATATCAGAACATAGAGTTTAGAGCTAGTCTCTCAAAGATACACTCTTGTTCGTCACATCCAAGTCAATCTCATACGTCGCCATCGCTAATCATATGTATTAGTATTTCTGTCATGCCTTAGTACGGTTTTGTGACAAACGAGATCGAGCGCATCTCCCTCAAACCACACACAAACCACTCTAGGCTTCATGACCAAAAAGGAATTCGACTCTACGTACCTCGTCTACTCAGTCGCTATTCTGTTCCTCTGGTCATTCTTCTACTAATACATATTTAACGATAACTCAATGCATCTGTCATAACGCAGACGACAACGTTCACTGACTTCATATTTTATGATTATTATCAATTGCAGTACAGCAACGAATATCACCCGTCGATGCAGTTATCATTTCACGACTTCACTATTATCATCCTACGAACGGGAACTACGCATTTGAATTCGAATTCACTCATCACTAGTCGATGCTATTTATTCTGCTGCGGCTCAACAGAACATATATTTCGCATATTTCACTATTCTATAAGCATCACAGACCAATTTCTGTCGTATTCTACTTTACTTATTTTCACGATTTATTTCTCTATCATACCCACGAAAACTTATTACTATTTTCACGATATTTTGAATCACTCATACAAACGTGTTATTTTATCGTTCAGACAGTCATAGCATTAGTACATGTTAATTTTTGTACGCTCATTAATTTGCTCATATTCGCATGCTAACGTTTCCATTTTTGTCCGCGCCTTTGCGATATTCATGTATTCTTTTACATAAGTATGACATTTTCATATAATACACTCACCCCTCATGTGACGCTGTACTTTATCGAGTGTTGTACAATTTTTTTTTGGCTACTTATTGTTAACGTTAGCTTCATATCACTTCAGTGTTATTTTCGAAAACAGACATTTTTTAAATGTGCTATTTTCTACGAGGGGGCTATGTAGTGTCAGTTATTATGCCAAGCCCATATACCTTATTTTAGCTTTCGGACGTCCTATTTTAATTCATTTTACTTGAGCCATATTTTGACCTTGTCAATTATTCGCTTGTCAGTCTTCATTGTTTTTATATGAGCGTATATATGTGTGCCCTTCTTATTTCATTAATCACATGTCTGTATCTTTATTTTGTCTGACTATAAATATTGAGTAACGCTTAGTTAAAATGGAGTTGGCTTCCCAGCCATCCTCCCTATGCGTCATTTTGCTCTGTTCTATTACATTCACTTTACATACAAAATATATGTATTCGAAGGCCATTCTCGTTAATTGACTTATCTAATTCCGTTATTGGATAACGTGATTTAAGTCGACGATTATATACGAGAAAAGGCGATAGCAAACATTTATACGATCTTGGAGTCAGATCCACGGGCCACAAAAGTGGTGAGCCCTCCAACGAGTATCGTCGATCTTAATGGGGATAAAATCAAACAACGGGCCACCACAGTGCCTTCTCTTGATTCCTTGAAAGCAAAAACGGACATGCACAGCATTAAAACTTTCAAGGACTGTTATAGGTCAATAAAACTTTAACTCTTACCAGTTACGGAACTCAAATTCAAACCTTATGAAGAGAGCTTCAAATCACTTAACCGTTACCCATTAGAGTATAAGCGTCTTAGAGGTGGCCTTATGGCTTACAATATTTTTAACACCTCGGGATATCTCTTCAGACACCTTCTTAAGCTCAGTCCCAATACAAACCTAAGGGGTAACATCCAGAAATTGGAGACACAACATAGCAGAACGGACTATAGACACAATTTCTACTCATTAAGAGTTGTCAAATGCCAGAATTCGCTGCCAACTGGACTAGTCCAAGCGACTTTTTAGGAGTCTTTTAAGAGGAAACTTGACCTATTCCTAAGAACTAAGGATAACATCTCATTATGATTTACCAATTTTTTTCCTCTATTATCGTTAATGTACCTAGGTTCATGCCTGAAAGTATTGGTGATCCATTGTTACTAGACACGGAAGTCCTTTAAGCGGAAGCTTCTTCTGTTCCGTCCACAACCATTTGAACTATTTGAAGACTGAAGTATGAGAACTAGGATTGGTTTAACATTTGAACATGACGATTGTTTCTCTAGGTCATCACCTTGACACGGATTTAACATGAATGTGGACTTATAAAATTTTAAGGATTCGGACGTCCACTTTTATGGAGGGCAGTAGAAGATGTTGAAATGCATATATTTCAACTATGTTTGTTTTTAGGAAATATAGGTAATCGTTACTCTCAGCCAACCTCATTTGGCAATTACAGCGCTTTTAATAAATGTGGGAGACCAGATACATTTGATGACCTTCAATAACCCAAGTTTATTTAAATATAATGAAGTTAATCCTCACATTTCAATAAATTAAGTTTCTGTTAGGTCAGCCCAAGAAATATTGTCATCCTGTGTAGATTATTCTCGAGTAACGTGGTTACATCCCTTAAAAAATGTTCGCAACCACTCTATGGTCATGGTTTTGATCAGTTAACGGGTAATAAATTTGGTCAGGTAATTCTCCTTTTTCTGTTGAATACTGGTTGTTGCGTATACGTCAGTGATTACTGTGATAAAAGTTACATCAATAATATGTGGTTCATACATGTATTCGTCACTCAAACTCAGTCATTCTCCTCCTCTTTCTCTGGCTAAGAGTTCTCGAAAAACATGGCTTATTAACAAAACTTTGATGAGTCTGTCGTTGAGTAACTAAAACCATCAACATTGCAAGGGAAAATTAACTCAGGATATATGTTAGTGCTGAAATTATGTGTTCGGCTATTTGCACTGATGTAATACTTGATTGAAGTATCTAGAAATAAAGTGGTTGGAAGTCAGGTCTGATTGGTTCCTGTTCTATACTGTTGAAGATGTATTATAAAACATCCAGATGCTTTGTTTGTTCTAACGATATTGATTGTGTATACATGTATCTATAGAGAAAAACAAGCTTATTCATCTCAACTTGACTCCCAACTGTTAGGCCAGTTTGTATAATGTTCTTTAGTGGGAAAAAACCAGGGTCCTGACAAAAAAGTAGAGGGTTTTATTTGTCATTCACTTATATTCTGTAATCGGTGCTAGAAATTCGAGCTTACAAAACAGTATAAGTGCATTCCTACAACTGCATTTCGGTGCTCTTAAATTCCAAAATATGTCTCCAACAAAACTTGAGGATTCCTTCCCATGGACATGTGATATGTTTTCAGAGGTCTGTGCTTAGGACTCAAATGCGGTTATCCAATTGACCCTAGATAACCATGGTTGTGAAGAAAAGTAGTTTATCCCTTAAGTACCGGGATACTCGGTGTAAATTGGTCAGTCACACATGTTCAAGGATATTTGTAATTCCAACGGCAGAAATAACTTCTGATAGTGAATACATTCAGCTCTGCTATCTGAATGACAACATGAAGATTTAGAAGTATTAAAATAGAAGCCGTTATAAACGGTTTCCTTGACTCCAAGTTTGGTGAATACATTGAGCTACCAAATGTTGTCTAATCTCACTCGGGAACTCAGACTCGAATGTCGTGTCCAAATCGATTCATTTCATATTTTTACCAAGCTCCACAATGCTTGTATTGAAAAACCAAATATTAGCGACAAATAAGTGGGAAAATTTTGATAAACTACAAGTCAATTTTCAATTGCATCTATGTACGTTGACATATTAGGCACTGCAACTAGTCAGTTTTTTTAGCATATGTACATCTGTGCGGATTACCTCGGTACTGCCGCATTCAAAAGTTTTTAGTAGTGACTGTGGCTAGCAGCGAAGCGTTTGAAGTGAAATATACTGTCTGGATCTTGGTGTAGACATAAGTTGTGGGGTACAGATGCAATAACCTGAGGAGTTTCAAGTTAGACGAAATTCACATCTAAGACTTCAATAGTAACCGTGGTCCATCCGTACTATGATCTAAAATACATTCAATTATCGAATCTTACTATGGAGTAAGTCCATCCATTGTTAGAGTAGTAACGTTGAATCGTCACGTTTACTACTGTATCCCCGTTGTTCATACCTGTGACTCTTGTTTTTGACTTCTCCCTAGAAAAGTGTCACATGAGGTAGTCAACTTTTACAAGTTTATAGTTTCCTACCCAGTGTTTCGTCAGTAAGTCCAGCCTAGATTGCTGTACGTTTAATTATAAAGCTTTAAAAAGCAGAATTTTTGGATACTTAGTACTCTTACCTCCAATATTATTTCATTTTAGTTTTATGAAAACCTATGTGTTACGGGATACAGCCTACAAGTAGACGACCTCAATTTCACTAGCAAAACCTCGAAGAATGATGTCTATGGGTTTTTCTTTCTTTCCGAAAATAAATTAAAGTACGTCTTTTGATAACTTTTGAACGATCTGTGTAAATATCACTAATCCATTTCCAGTAATGGTAATTAGCACTGTAGATTTAACCCTCAAAACTTCATTTTAAAGTGTGTGCTAGTTAAGAGTTTATTCAATTTATTAAAGTTCAGAACAATTGTGAAGGTTCTCTTCATGAGGAGCGCAACTGACAGTCCTTGCTTAGTTAGTATCTTACATCTTTCAATAATTTCTGGAAAATGCAGACTTTGTGCATTTGTGCTTTCTCATTTGTAAGTTACAACACCTGACTATAATTTATCGACAATGTCCCAAATTACTGAAGAAACCACTTCTGAAGAGCGTTAAGCACCTGTGAGAGATAAACCGATTGAATTGTATATTTTGTTCCAATTCTTTACAACAAAGAAGATAATCTTCATAAAAGCAAACAGTTTTGATGAAATATACCATAAGGTTTGTTACGGAAACCTGAGTATATGTATCTCCTCCTCCTCCTCCTCCTCCTACTACTACTACTACTGAGGTATCGTTTAAAATATGAATATCTGATTACCTTTGTCCCATAGCCAATGTTCTACTGTACATTTTCTTAACGCGAATCACTCTTTCCTTTTGAAGAAGTATTTATTTGGACGAAATAGGGACATTTAGTGACGACTAGTGTTTACTAGGTATTAGAACTGATTCAGTCTGAGTTCTATGAATCTGGTGTTCGGATTGCTGTTATTAAGGTTCGGCATTTTGGACCGATGCATATATGTGCCTGGTCCTACGTTGTAGCTGACTGACTGTACTTTTGTTTATTATTATCACTATTATTTATTTATTTGTTCTCCATTCTCGGTCGTGCCAGGGCATTTGGGGGCTGATGGACTGATTTTCAACTATAACTAGGTTAAACCGAAGTGACATATTATATAGCTCCTTTTTTGCAATTAGTTTGTATACCTTGAATAAGCAACAGTAGTACATCTTAAATTCGATGCTAGGTATATTTTCACTTTTATTCAAGAGATGCCCATTTAGTAATTCATCATTGTAACTTGCGCCTACATCTGTCCTAAGTCTCTTGTCCTTTAGTGGTGTTTATTATCAGTAGAACCAATTTTATCTATTTTTGTAGCTTGATAAAAAAGTAAATAGTTGATTATTTAAAAGGAATTTTGTATAAAAAAACTCGGTCACATTTTAGTTTGATGTGTACTAATTGTTGTTTTTTTTCTGTCTCTACAGGGGTTATGTAAATATTTCATCTTCAGAAATATATCCATCAGGTTTTACTATTCTCATCGAATCCATAAATCAAGAATTAGGACTAAACGACACTAATTCAGTTCACTCTACTACTATGTGCCATTTATTCAGTGCCACGTACAACTCCACTATTTTTCCTTTAAAGGTTACGATCTTCGAAAACGGTACTAAAGCATCTTCAAATGTTCAAAGATGGAGTCAAATTTCACCAAGTAGAAATAATTCGACATTTCATTCTTTCAATTATACTATTAACTCAACATCATCTACCAATGTTCAATTATTTGATTCACATTATCGTAACAACAACATAGCCAGAAGAGTGAAACGCTGTAAGTCATCATTTACTGGTTCTAGTTTATTCTTAGAGAATTTTTATTTGACTTATTTCTAAACATAAAATACAACATTTATCTGTGTAGTTGACTTTAATTAGACTGAATCAACCTAGCTTATCTGTTTCATGGTATTATGAAAACTAGTTATACTATGTACTCGAAAAAGCTTGCAATTCATCAAGTTTTTATAACTTCCTTTAATTTACATAAATTACGGTGAAATTAGGTGGAGTAATGATACTCCATAGTTACCCAGACATAGTTAGAACACCCCACAAATAAACCCACCGTTTGAAAGTCGACACATTCAATTAATAACCTACCAATTCATTGAATGATGGTAAATATGAAAGTGGGAAAATAAGAGAGTAACAACTTAGTGTTTGCATGACTCAACACAGGATTTGATTGTATGAAAATTTATACAAATCAAAACAATAAATCGGTTTTATATAGTTTGGAAAGCTGGCTTGTGCTTTTAGGCTAAACATTACGTGTGTTTTGTCGACTTTGATCTAGACATATACACCTAGTTTATGTAAATAGATATGGTCTTGTAACGTTGTATCTGTCACTACTGGTATACTAACATCATTTTGTGTCGTCACGCAATCTTCGTAGGCTCATCTTATTTCGAAAAATGTATAAAATAAAATATAGCAAGAGTTTTTGGTATGCACAACAAATACTGAAGTTGTTGGTTTTACTGAATTTCATATTATCTGAAATTTTCGTTCATTGGGTGAGAGTTAGCAACCTTGCCTGACACCGGTCTTTACTTCGAACGACTTTGTCAACTGTCCGCCATGCACGATTTTACAGTTTAATCCATCGTAGGAATTCCGTATGATGTTGACTATCTTCTGAAGCACGCCGTAGTATCGAGGAAGCTTCCATAGTGTTCTGTCCACGCTATCAAATGCCTTTTCGTAGTCAATTAAGTTGATGTAGAGTGATGAATTCTATTCAATTGATTGTTCCACAATGGTCCGTAGTGTTGCGATTTGGTTTGTACACGATCTATCCTTACGGAATCCTGCCTGTTGGTCTCGAAGTTGGGCGTCTACGTAGTCCTTCATTCTGTTTAACAATACCCTGTTGAAGACTTTTCCCGGTATTGAGAGAAGAGTGATGTCCCTGTAGTTATCACAGTTGCTGAGATCGCCTTTCTTCGGTATTTTGATCAGAAGTTCTTCTTTCCAGTCTTTGGGTACTTGTTCCTCATCCCAAATCTTAACCTTATAAAGGCTCTCTACTCGAACACAACTGGTAGAGTGAGAGCTTATGGCGAACTGTCATCAGAATTGATTACATCAAGTGGTGTTCGTCAGGGCTGCCCACTCTCCCCATTCTTGTTCAACTTTGTGGTCGACGTACATTTAGAGATAACACTCTCCTCATCTAAATTTCCAGGGGTTGAACGTGTACCGGGAGGTTCACTTTTTGACTTAGAATATGCTGATGACATAGTTTTATTTGGTAAAGATGCTGACAAAATGCAGTCTTATGACCACCCTATGCAACAATGCAAGCATGTTCAGGATGCGATTCTCCCCCTCGAAATGTAAAATGTTGCTTCAGGATTGGGTTGCTTTGACACCCGAACTAATGATAGAGAGTGAAGTAACTGAGCGTCTCGATCGCTTCACTTATCTTGGAAGTCTCATCAGCCCTTGTGGTCTGGTGTGTGACGAAATCTCAGCACGGATACAGAAGGCTCGACTAGCTTTTGCCAACTTGCGTCATTTATGGCGTAGGCGAGATATCCGTCTATCAACCAAAGGACGTGTTTACTGCGCAGCAGTTCGTCCCGTCCTACTTTATGGCAGTGAAACATGGCCGGTAAGAGTAGAGGATATTCGTAGGTTACTAGTATTTGATCATAGGTGTCTTCGAAACATTGCTCGTATATCATGGGACCATCGAGTAAGTAACACAGTTGTTAGGAAACGGGTACTAGGTAAGGATGACAAATCAATTGATGAAGTAGTGAAACTTCATCAGTTGAGATGGCTGGGACACGTGTTACGTATGCCCAACCACCGACTGCCTCGACGAGCGATGTTCAATGGTATTGGAGTAGGTTGGAAGAAAGCTAGGGGTGGCCAGACCAAAACATGGCACAAGTCCATGAAGTCACTGACAAGTGGACTGAGTCATGTTGGTAGGTGTAGACTACCTGGTTGGGGACCACGAGATGATAGCAACCGATGGTTAGAGACCCTGAATGGAATGGCTCAAAATCGTTTGCAATGGTGCAGGTGCATCCATTCTTTATGTTCTACCAAATTCTAATCTTCTGAATTCTTCATGTCCCTTTCTTTTTTCTCTTTCCAAATTTATTTCACTGGATTATACTCTTTGAATAACATCTCCAAACACTAATCTTCCCGATTACTGCTCATACTCTTATTACCTCTACCACTACGGGATTTGAATCGACAACTGCATCTCTGTGCTAAGGTGGTGTGGCAACTCGAACTGATGTACGTACGTACGAAGTTCTACGTTGTTACTGACTGACTGACCAAATCTTATTGAAGAGAATGTGGAGTATCCTTGCAGTTGCCGCTACGTCTGATTTTAGTGCCTCTGCTGGAATGTTGTCTGGTCCTGCTGCTTTGCCGCTCTTGATTTGCCCGATGGCCATGCTTATCTCTTCAATTGTTGGCGAGACAACATCGATTGGGAGGTCCGTGAGTGCTGCTTCGATGTTGGGTGGGTTCAGTGGGGCTGGTTGGTTCAAGAGTTCTTTGAAGTGTTCTACCCACCTGCTTCGTTGCTGTTCAATGTTGGTGATTACCTTGCCTTCCTTGCTTTTCACTGGTCGTTCTGGTTTACGGTGATTTCCAGAGAGTTTCTTTGTTGTGTCATACGGTTCTCTCATGTTTCCTTCTCTTGCAGCTTATAGTGGTCAGGAGACCAAAGAGACACCAAATAGAACTATGTCATCGGCATATTCTAGGTCAAAAAGTGAGTCTCCTGGTAGAAGTTCAACCCCTGGAAATTTAGATGAGGAGAGTGTTATCTCCAAAAGCACGTCAACGACAAAGTTGAACAAGAATGGGGAAAGTGGAAAGCCCTGACGAACACCACTTGATGTAATCTATTCTGATGACAGTTCGCCATAAGCTCTCACTCGGCCAGTTTTGTTCAAATAGAGAGCCTTTATAAGGTTAATATACTTCTTTGGTACTCCTTTCAATGACAAACACTGCCATAGAACCTCACGATCAACAGAGTCAAATGCCGCCTTAAGGTCGAGAAATACTACGATTGTAGGGCGTCTGAATGTGTGTCTATGTTCTAGGACCTGACGTAGTGTGAATGTCTGGTCTATACAGCCACGTCCAGATCGGAAACCAGCCTGGTTTTCCCTAGTCTATTCTTCACGAGCTTTAGTTAGGCGTCGAAGTATTATTGAAGCTAATACTTTAGACACTATATTAGTCAAACTGGTTTTTCTGTGATTGTCACAAGAGGACTTTTGTCCTTTCTTATAGACTGGCATAATCAGTGATTGAGACCAGTCAGATTAATCTACTTACGTGAGGAAATACGAACAGTGAATGAACAATACACTGTAATAGGGAGATTATAATATCAAGTGTGTAGTGTAACTAGTAACAGCAAATAATTGTTTATTTCTACAAGATGTATTTATATTTCCTCACGGATTCAATGCTTAAAAGACTCAATTCATCTATGAACAGAAATAACAATAGTTTTGCAAGAGTAATTATATGACCAATACTATTAATTTTCACCCATTCATAATATTAATGCACTCTACAAGATCTGTAGTTTGGAATAAGAAGGATTTATGAAATATTGTGTTCTCTCTGAGGTCGGTTGTTCAGTCGTGAAGCTTTTATTATCTGATGCTGCTTAGAATTACAATAAAACCTTTACGATTATATCATCCAGCTCAAAGGAAACTAAATCCGTTTATGTATTGCCAGATGCAGACAAGTTTTATCAGTGAAATAATATTTTAAAATCAATTACAAGTCATGAATATAAATATTATGGTCATATTGAACGGTTCAACATATTGCTTAGACGTCCTAATTCGATGTAATGTAAAATGAGAAATAGGTAAAAGGTATGTATGTCCACCGCTTGAAGTTTTTACGTAATACATATGTGTACCCTTTAGTCGTCCATCTGGATCTTGTGGTGTTTTCTGCGGTCTGGAGTTTTCTCTTTACTGGCCTCCAAGTGTCCTGCCAACACTGTGCTTTTGATGCACTGAAATCCTTCACTCTATCCGACAATTGTTGCAACGCCGACATCACGTCCCGCTACATACTACTTACAAACATTCTTATGAGTAGCATCCACTACAGTAGTTCCTCATGAGCTTTGAATAACAGAAGTGAGCTACCATTAACTCTTATAAAATAGCTGTGTAGTCCATAATGTAGTGACTGATCATACAGCGGCTAAGCGTTCATCTTACTTAAACTTCATCTGTTGTGTGGTAAATTTGGATTTCGCTCCACATACTTTGATTTCAACAACCGAATATTATCACACTAACCGTCACCTAAACAATACAACTCCAAGTTAAACACATACATTTAGATTTATTGGTGTATAAAATGTGAGGACTTGTAACATAGTTGTTGAGTTACATCTCTCTAAGTATACAATATTCATAATTTCACGTTAATAAATGTAATTAATTCTATCGGTAACATGATTTATGCAACATTGTCACTTATCATGTGTTTACTACACTGGGGCATAACAATATTGTTGATTTGAGGAAATGTCTGAGAAAAACTACCTTACTATACTTTGTTTATGAAACTATTTACAATCAAAGTAATAATGATAATAACAAATTTTTAGATTGTGGCATATATTGAAGATATGTTTTGACTTATTTTACTCGTGATAAATAATGATCAGTTAATTTTTTATTTACCTTAGATTTATAGTCAAATAAGATCTGAATTCATTGCCAATCGTTAAAATCATTTACATATTGTGATATTAAAATTTATTTATCTTACAAACCAAGATATTATCGCTTATAAATAATCAGCTAACACAGTTACTTCAAATACACCATGTGTAGTATCATAACATTTAAATACTGAATTAAATCAGTTAGTTATATGCAACGTAGAATCTGGGATATATGTGTGTTGGTTCTAGATCCCACTAATTCAGTAATACGGTAAGATACCAGGGTAGTACATACGGTAACAGCATTAGTGTTAGCAGAAAAGATTGAGTATAAAAAACGTAACTTAAGGAGGCATAATGAATTTGTGGAAGGAAAAAATACAAGGTAATTTTTTCGAACTCAAGGGAAACTCGCAGAGACCACTTACGACTTAAAATAATTCCAAGTTTCACAAAAAAACTACAAGGAATAATTAACAAGAAAATATTCGGGAGATCCAGAAAACTCCTCGAAAAAAGTCAACAAAGGCTCAGAAAACTCTGAAAAGCATCTTATTCAATCAGCATTCACTAGACGTTTTGCCAGAAAAATCTAAAAAAAAATGAAAATTCACGTGTCGAGTTTCTGATTGGATGATTACCTACACTGCTACTATGTTTAATAGCGTTCCAGAATATACCAGAAACTCAAGGTCATCTAAAATACCGTGGAAACCCTAAATTTTCTATACATAAACGAATCTTGGGGTAAAGCGTTTCTCCCATATTTCGCGCCTTTCATCTCGTGTTCAGATCGCTGTGTAGATTTAGCCTGGGGTTGATATGCTTGAATGCTATTACGAGTTCACCTTACTCGGTTAAACGGAACGAAGTTCAAACATACAGTGACACGATAGGCTATTCTAATCCGTTGTCCCCGGCCCTGCTAACTAGATCAAGAAGTCTTGATGAGACATAGAGAATGTATTCTACAAGCACCCAGAAAATACGAGGTCACTAAGCACACAAATCAAGCTTATTTATACAATGATAGAAACGCCCTTGGAAGAGCCACAAAAAGCTTACTAAAAAGTCCGTCAATCAATGACAGTTAAGGATTTCCGAGCGCGAAATGTAAGCTGTAGGTCAACTTAGCGTCTCTTGGCGCGAAAACATAAAATCCAAATTTTGAGAATAAAATTGCAAAATTAGGACCTTTTCTAAGTGAGTTCTGGGGATCTAACGTCCACAACAGGGGGCTACTAGAAGAGCTTAGGAACCGAATATAGCCTTCAATTAGAAGACTTATTAGAAAACCAGTATGTTTTTGCCTATATTAATAAACAGCTAGAAGTAAAATTTCAGAGATAACTTAGAAAATCTGAAATACGTACATTTAACCACAAGAATAAAAGAATAATTGTGTAAGTCTTTCGACTATTCGATTCACTGAGTTTACTCCCAGATAGTTCGGGACAAACTGACTAGGGCGATCGACCAAGGCGAATAATACAGTTATGTTGTTAGCTATTTATCGTCTATCCGCAGCTCATCTACTAATTTTCAAGTTAATTTATGGTGGTGATCAGTTTACAATCAGTAGTAGTTTGCTAGTTCAAACTCCGTTTCATCTGATTGTGCTGAAAAAACCGATTAATAACTCTTATGCAATTGAAGCTCAGTTTAAATAAACTTGTACTTAGTAAATGTTGATTTTTTAACGTGTTACGAGAAGCTCTTATTTTTATCTGTGACGATTTAACAATTAAAGAAGTAATCATTTCATTGTAATAATATAATGGGAAAATAAGTTTATGAGATATTTCCATAAGTGTTTAACCTTTTCATAAGTGTTAATATTACTTTCTCACTTAAAAGTAATTTACTATCACTTAAAGTGAAGTGTTGCTAATCAAACGTGTACTTTTTGTTTCTTCATAAAATATTTTCTCATTACAGCCTCTATATCAATGACAAATACCGTAAGTACTCTAATATTTATATGTATGGTGTATCTGTGTAGTATTGTGTGTTTAAAAAAAACTCGCTAATATTTGGTTATAATTATCAAGTAATTCACATGTTGTACAACATATGAAGTAATCAGTCCTCACGTGTTCAAAAATATAACATATAATATATTCATATGTTTTTACTTACATAATCGCTTGCTCCGCCATTTGATTATAGACGATATAATCAATATATATTAGGTGATTGTATTTATGCGATCAGTCAGATATTCATCAATCTCATTTCTCATACTACATTACCAGCAATACGGTTGAAGCATATGAATATGATTGAAGAGAACTGAGTTGAAATACCATTGGCAGTAAGTATTGTAGTGAACGAGAACACCAGTGGGGACAACCAAATATGTTTTAACTCAATATTACGGAATATCTTGGTAAAATCTGACAACCATACAGTAAGACTTCATCTGCAAAACATCCAACAATTGTGTCAAACTTTGTTGTTCCTACGTTTCCATACCAATCACTCTCTGTTATCTTTCCCTCCACTTCGATTTTTTCAACGTTCTACCGTGAGGCATTCAACTTTGAACTGATAATATATACTATTTATATCTGTCGACATCAGTCCCGACCGTTGTTGCTACCTTGACGTGGTGGTCGGGCTTGCCTATTGTGGTGAAGCAACCGAACTATACTGGCTGGAACAACCGTTCCTTAAGGTCCTACCATGTCAGACAGGTCGGTTGAAGAGCGGTAAGACTAAAAGCAACAAACCCAAGGTCCGAAGGCGAAGTCGTACTGCTGACTGTACAGAGGTGTGACAGCAGTAAGGTGTTTCCTTCAGACAACCAGCATGACAGCGATGCTGCCTTCCCACAAAGAGGGGTGGGGTTAGAAAAGGTCGACCCTAAAAATGCACACCTCGCCTTATCCCACGGATATCCGTCTCCGGCGGTAAGGTCTCAACGAGTGCGGAGCCAACACAAAAATTACCCATAAAAAGGTCGTGTGTGACCGACCTCAAGCAGTTGTCCCTTGGGCACTGCGGTCACGCTCTCAGGTCACTAAGACCACCTCTAATCCAATTTCCTTTTCAGGTACCTCCAGAAGAACCCTTCCACGGTGTGGGCAACCGGGAAGTGATAACTACCTTCATGCCTCTAACAGCACTCAAGACCACTGCATTCATAATCAACCTCACTCTTCAATTCCTATTATTCCTCCTACATCGACTTTCAACTCTAAACTTCCTCTTTCGGCTTCCCCCTCAAGTGTCACCATAGCCAACGATTCTAGTGCTCAAAACACTGTTCCAGGTCTACTGAAACCTCGCTCCAAACTACACATTGGAGCCCTATGTCAAATCGGTCAGGAGGCTTCCTTGGCTAAAACCCTAGAATCTCGTACCATTGATGTATGCTGTGTCTCTGAAACACGCATACAGGATCCCAGTGTGGTCATTCACTTGACCTCACCTCGGCAAAACGGAGGGCCAACGAGATACACCCTCCGTGTATCTGGTGACCCGATGGCCAGTTATCGTGGACTGGCAGGTGTAAGCATAGCACTGAGCATGAGGGCGGAACAAGCACTGCTAGAGTGGATCCCCGTCAACAGTCGTCTATGTACTGTTCGGCTAAACGGCTCCGTAAGAACTCGGAAGGATAGAGAATCACGTCGTTGCCTTTTCGTCGTTTCTGCCTACGCTCCCACTGACTGCAGCTTAGATGAAGTGAAAGATGAATTTTACAGAAAGCTGTCCGAACTTCTTCAGGAAGCTAAACGTTCAGACATAGTACTCGTAGGGGGTGACTTTAATGCCCAGATAGGTAGTTTAAACCAAACAGTAAGGCATTTAGGTGAATATTTTAGTATTCCAGCACAGCAAACATATAATGGTGATCGTCTGCTGCAACTGTGCTCAGACAATCGTTTATTTTTAGCAAACACAAATTTTAAGCATAAGGAGAGACATCGTCTAACATGGCGACCCCCTACACCAAACCAACGATGGACTCAAATAGACCATATTGCCATCAGTCATCGTTGGAGAGGGTCGGTAGAAGATTGTCGCTCATTCTGGAGTACCTGCTTGGACTCCGACCATACCCTAATACGGGCACGCATCTGCTTGCGCCTCACTGGACGCAAAAAAGCCACATTAAAAAGACCTATTAGAACTGAATTGAGTAACGAGAAAACCAAAAGTAGGTTCCAAGAACAACTGAGTTCACAATTAGGTAGTTCTGAAATAGAGGCTGACCCAGATGTTGCTTGGAAAGACATACAAGCAGTTGTGGAAACAGCAGTGACATCTATTAGTGACTTAAACCACAGAATTACAAAGAACCAGTGGATTTCTTCAAAGTCTATCACATTGATGGATTCTCGCAAACTCGTCCCAACAGGTTCCGAACATGATGAAGAGCGACAACAAATCAGATCTAGGTTAAGAAAAAGTCTAAGAAACGACCGTGAGCAGTGGTGGGCATCGAAAGCAAAAAAGATGGAAAAGGCGGCGACTGTAGGGAACACAAGACAGCTTTACAGACTAATAAAAGAAACTGGAATTAATAAGTCAAGCGTAAGTGAGATTATATTGGAAAAAGACGATACTCTCATCTACTCCCAGCCCAGACGTTTAGAACGATGGGCGGAACACTTTAGGGAACAGTTCAGCTGGCCTTCAGCGACTCTACAACTACCCTCCATCCCCAGACAATGTGAATGGAACATTGAAGTAGGTCCCCCAACTCTAGCTGAAGTTCAAAATGCTATAGTTAGTCTGAAACGAGGAATGGCAGCTGGTCCAGATGGATTGGCTCCAGAGGTCTTTAAGGATGGTGGTCCAATTTTAGCGATTAGGTTGACTAATATTTTAGCTAAGATCTGGGAGTTAGACGTTATCCCATCGGGCTGGTCACAATCACTTATCGTTCCAATATATAAGAGAGAGTAAAATCATCCTGTGACAACCATAGAGGGATTAGTTTAACTAATATAGCATCTAAAATACTAGCTTCAATAATTATTGGGCGCCTAACTAAGACTCGTGAATTGCAAACACGAGAGAATCAAGCTGGCTTCAGACCTGGTTGTGGCTGCATCGACCACATATTCACCATTCGTCAGGTTCTAGAACATAGGCATACTTATCGGCGTCTGACAGTGGTGGTCTTTCTTGACTTAAAAGCAGCATTTGACTCTGTAGACCGCGAGATTCTGTGGCAGTGTCTGTCATTGAAAGGTGTACCTCAGATGTACATAAACCTTGTGAAGGCTCTTTACTCGAACACTACTAGTCGAGTCAGGGCTTATGGAGAACTGTCATCTACTTTTGCAACCTCAAGTGGTGTCCGTCAAGGCTGTCCATTTTCTCCATTTTTGTTTAACTTCATCATAGACCTATTGATGGAAATAACCTTCTCGTCGACTGAGTTCTCGTGTATTGATCTCCTACCAGGAGGTCCACTTATCGACTTAGAATACGCAGATGACATAGTCCTGTTTGGTGAGGACGCTGGTAAAATGCAGAGTCTTTTGGTAGCACCGAGCGACAATGCCAGAATGTTTGGAATGCGCTCCTCCCCCCCTCAAATGCAAGTTGTTACTTCAGGACTGGTCTGCATCAACACCTGAACTAAGGATAGGCAGTGAAGTAGTCGAACGCGTTGACAACTTCACTTATCTTGGAAGTCTGATCAGCCCTAATGAGTTGGTGTCTGACGAAATCTCAACACGGATTCGAAAAGCTCGCTTGGCTTTTGCCAACTTACGTCACCTATGGCGAAGGCGAGATATCCGTCTATCAATAAAAGGACGAGTATACTGCGCGGCAGTCCGTTTTGTTTTACTTTACGGCAGCGAAACATGGCCATTAAGAGTAGAAGACACTCGTAAGCTACTAGTATTTGACCACAGATGCCTTAGAAATATTGCTGGCATCTACTGGGATTACTGGGTAAGTAATAGTGAGGTTAGATGCAGGGTATTATGGAATGATGGTAAATCAGTTGATGAGGTTGTGAATCTTCATCGACTGAGATGGTTAAGCCACCTATTGCGTATGCCTGAGCACCGATTACCACGATGTGCAATGCTAATCGATGTTGGGGATTGTTGGAAGAAAGTTAAGGGCGGCCAAACCAAAACGTGGCATCAGTGTTTGGAATCACTAACTTCTAGTCTGAGCCATGTTGATAGATGCAGACTACTTGGTTGGGGTTCGCGTGACTATCGTAACCAATGGTTGGAGACTCTTGGTGACATGGTTCAGAATCGATCACAATAGCGTAGGTGTATACACTCTCTGTCTTCCCTTAAACTAAGAGATTAAAATTACTTCATATCTTTCTTTCTACGAACTAATTCTTTCTTCCTGTACTATATCCTTATATGCAATCTTCCTCCTATATATTACCACCTTTGACCTAACCACTGCTATGAATCCGGTGTTCATCTTGCTGTGCTAATGCGGTATGGCAACCTGGACCGATGCATATATGTGCCTGGTCCTTCGTTGTAGCTGACTGACTGTCTGTCGACATCAGTAGCACACACCACAGTAGAAGAACAGTCCAAAAATAACCAATATCATCAATGAATAAAAAGCATAAAACAATATTAAATTTCAAAATTTATTAATAATGAACTATTGTAATTATTTTAGAGCATTGTAGTATACACTGCTGAATGAAGTAGATGAATTTCTATAAATGTCAATAATATGATGTGGTCAGAAAACTGAATAGTGCGTAATCGTGATAGATTGCGCCTACAAGAGATCAGAGTATTTTACTTGAAATAGTTACGTTTGGATTGAAAGTATAAAACTTTCCCATAGTAGATGTAACGTCACTTTCATAAAATATATTTAAGAGATATCATTTAGTTAAAACAACTATGCAATAGTATGCTCATTAAAAAAGCATATTTCCCTGGTATATTTATTCGAATGACAATCGGTACAATCAGTTTTTATCGGTTTGAAAATAATAGGTAACGATTTACCGTGATTGTTCTCAACCCTCTATACATGCATTTTAGAATCTCTAGGAATTTGATACATCAAAGATTTAAAAGCAACCTTGTGTACTTGACGATATGTAAATCTATTCACTACAATGAGGGTTGTTCACATTCTTTGCTACGATTTGTTTCTCTTTATAAATTCCAGTCAATTTTGGATACATTACATGTTTTCCATCGTCCCGGTGAATCGCAGCCATATGTGGTGGAGTTGTTTATGGTTGTGGATGAAACTATGGTAAGATAATGGATATTTTCACTAAATGATTACCTGAATACAGTTTCAGATAAAATAAATGGTTCAGTGATATTTAATTAGTGAGAAATTTTTTAACAAAATAACTTATTCATACTGGTGTGTGTTCCATGATGAAATTTAGTTCCATTGTTTCCCCCTAATAATAAGCTTCTTGTTTTCTTCCTAGTACAAAATTCAAATATGGCTGCCTCCTTAGATATAACTTTTAAATTTTCAATCCATCTTTTTCTGTCGTACAATATTTTTCTTCACAGAACCGTTAGCAATCTTCACATGTTTCTGCCAACTTACGTCATCTATGGCAAAGGAGAGATATCCGTCTAGCAATTAAAGGATGAGTATACTGCGCAGCAGTTCGTTTTTTTTTACTTTACAGGTGCGAAACGTGGCCTTTAAGAGTAGAAAATGCACGTAAGCTACTAGTATTCGATCACAAATGCCTGAGAAATATTGCTGGCGTCTGCTGGGATTACTGGGTAAGTAATAGTGAGGTTAAACACAGGGTATTAAGAAATGGTGATAAATCAGTTGATGAGGTTGTGAATCTTCATCGACTGAGATGGTTGAGACACGTGTTATGCGCATGCCTGAACACCGATTACGACGCACAATACTGACTAGTGTTGGGGATGGCTGGAAGAAAGTTAAGAGTGGTCAAACCGAGACGTGTCATTAACCCATAAATTCACTAACTTCAGGTATGATCCATGTTGGCAGATGCAGACTACTTGGTTGAGGTTTGTGCGACTATCGTAACCAATGGTTGGAGACTCTTGGTGACATGGCTCAGAATTGATCACAATGGCTTAGGTGTATACGCTCTTCAAGTTTCCTTAAATCGTGAAATTAAAATTACTTTATACCTTTCTTACTATGATCTAATTTTTTCTCCCTGTATTATATCCTTATATGCAATCTTTTTTCTATATATTGCTAACATCGGAGTAACTGCTTCTATGAATTTGGCGTTCATCTTCTTGTGCTAATGAAGTATGACATCTTGGACCGATGCATATGTGTGTCTGGTCCTACGTTGTAGCTGACCGACTGTAATTTTCATAAATCTAACTTTTACTATCTTGGCATTTTTTTGTCCAGGATGTTTGTTTAGGCTACCCTAGACATGTCCCCAAACCAGTCAGTTGTGTATAACTGAAGCGATTTATTTTTGTCAACATATAAGAAGTGAACACCTAGTTGTTAGACTGAAGTAACTTTGTAATATCGTTTAATTATAGACTGTTAAAAAAACAAAAATGTAAGTGATATTTCAGTCCTACACGAATTGTTTGCACTGTCGTACAGGTAGCACAAACCATTGTTTTACTCATCACAGTTATAATATACATGAGTTGGCGACTAGTTAATTGTATTATTAATTTTTATTTCATTTATCATACATTATAGCTGATTAGTGGTACTTTGAATTGTTTACATTTTGTTTGTGAACCTTATTCTTTCCGCATATGTTTCCCTTTATTTATTTACATGTTCCACTGTTATGATATAAAGGAAATGGGTTATCATTTTACTTTGATTTTGTTTTATGTCATGTTTTTTTTCATTTTGATTTGTGTAAGCGATGGATCAGTGGTTAAGGCATTGAACTTTCAGCCAATAGATTACAGATTCGAACTGTGGCCCACCTACTTTAGTTTGGGCAAATGATTACTATTACTAATTTTCACACCTAAAGCATGGTTTGAGACCAAGTACACGGATCTGTATCTAGTGATAAGTTGGTTATAATACTAGGCGATGAAAGGTTTAGTTTCGACTCAGACAATTCGATTATAAGATTTCAGTAATTTCATGTAAAGTATGAATGTAAAGTTTACAGCCTAATACCTGTGACAATGACTTCCCAACTGACTTCTCGATTCTCATGATCCATCTGAATTCTGAGCCTCCAACAACCCAGTAGTTAATAATATAATTAAAGCTCTTATTTATGATTATTTGATTTCTAGAAATCAAAGATTATACATAAACTTTGAGTTCCTAAAGTTTTTGGAGACTTTTTCGACAATAATAATCATTGCTTGATTGGAGCTAGACATTAACACCGTTGAACGCCGGCTCAGTGGTTTGCGCGCGTGACCAAAGATCTTGGGTTCGAGTTCCACGTGTGAGATTATGGGTGCGCACTGCTGATGAGTCCCATACTTAGAGGCAACGGACATCCAGTGCTTCCATGTTTTCGGTGGTAGTTTAGCTTAGATTGACCCATGAATTCACCTATTAAAATAATACTGCAATAGTCTTGCCAGTCTGATTAGAAAAGAACAAAATACACCAGTTTATGGGATATACTGGAACTCGATGTTTGGTGTTATTTAAATAAACGTAATTTGAGTATTTCATGGTTTGGTAAATATGTATAGTAAATCTAGTCATATTCTATTTCTCCATTGATAAACTTCGCTCATCATCAAAAACATTTTGATTTCTTGAGTTCGCATGATTTCCATTTATTTATTCATCAATTTAGAGATGTCTTGGCATGACAGAATTGGACGGTGTCGATACTGACATTTTTTAATTAGTGTAATAAGGAAACAGCTGTGGGAGATGATGGTGATCAGAAAAAAACAATGTGTATATTCATGTACAGAGATAGATGAGCGTAAAACCAATTAGTTATTTATTCAGAGGAGCAAGATAAGCGTCTTATGTGAATTGCACAGAGATACGGTCACGTGGATCAACTAATTGCTTTCAGTTTGTAGTGTCTGCTAATACTAACATTCAGTGTCGATGTCGAATGAGCTGTAATTTACTTACCGTTACTATTCTTTAGACGTTTTTAATACCAAGAAAAATTTATTTTACCCCAGTACATTTGTTATAGTTCCATAAGGAGTTGATCTCTGTCCAAATCGATCACATATGGAATCTTATCATAATATTGAAAATCATTAGTACAAGTCTCTGAAATCTTAATAGTTTTCGTTAGGTTACATAATTTGTTTTTTCCTACTGATTTAACGACAAAAACTGAGAAATTCCATACCCAGCTCTTTCAATAACTTACAATTAACTATTGTTTTAAATTTATTTAACTCTCTGTTAAATTTGCTGTCTGTTGTTGTCTGTTTCAATAGATTACTTTTATCAGAACCATCTCATTTTATTTCTTCGTAAACAGGTTGCAGAATTTCGTGGACAATATCATCAATTGATTTCTCGTATTAATATGATTATTGCACTTGTAAATAAGGTAATTTGTCCATGATTTCACTATATTACTAATTTATTCTGACTATTATTTCGATGCGTACATGATTGTATTTTACTTTACACAGAAAAAAGATTCAAAATAATAATCCTATGGGTATTGATCTGCGTTTATAGTGTAAAATGTATATGAGCAATCCCAACAGTTTTACATGTAACAATGATCATTTAAGTATTCAACATAAAAACTGGTCATAATCTCAGTAATGAACTATAAATTCTTTGATTCTGCTTTGAGATACATTACTTTATGACGTCTGTAATACTATTCTTTTGCTCATTGTGATATATAGCGAGAGGGGCAACAGTTTTGTGAATTATACTTGACAGTTTTCTAAACTTCCTTATATTTTATTAAGTATATATCTATTCTTCATTTAAATGGTGTTTCATTACAAGAAAAAGAGTATCATTCAGTGTAATGAATAATATTTCAGATAAATGTATATTGGACGTAGTGTAACTGTAATATAGCGACAAGCCAGTAACAATATTTGAATGACTTTGTGATGCGTTAACCAATAGAACTAATAAAACTTTCCAGAGTGTAGTGGTTTCAATCAGCTTGTTAGTTTCTCAAGGCTTATTATAAGTTTTTTCACTGTTAGTAATGGAGAAATATTGCTGCATAATCGTTTTAATCGGAATAAGAATATATTCACATCGAAGATTTCTTTTCGATTCTTTTCCATAATCATAAAAAGTTGTGTAGAAGTGTCATCATCGCCTACAAAATTCTTAGTAATAGATACATTGAAGGGTTAAGAGATGCTGCTATAAAACAAGTGGTATGAACAAGTCATTTGTGTATCAGCACGGATTCGAAAAGCTCGCTTGGCTTTTGCCAACTTACGTCACCTATGGCGAAGGCGAGATATCCGTCTATCAATAAAAGGACGAGTATACTGCGCGGCAGTCCGTTTTGTTTTACTTTACGGCAGCGAAACATGGCCATTAAGAGTAGAAGACACTCGTAAGCTACTAGTATTTGACCACAGATGCCTTAGAAATATTGCTGGCATCTACTGGGATTACTGGGTAAGTAATAGTGAGGTTAGATGCAGGGTATTATGGAATGATGGTAAATCAGTTGATGAGGTTGTGAATCTTCATCGACTGAGATGGTTAAGCCACCTATTGCGTATGCCTGAGCACCGATTACCACGATGTGCAATGCTAATCGATGTTGGGGATTGTTGGAAGAAAGTTAAGGGCGGCCAAACCAAAACGTGGCATCAGTGTTTGGAATCACTAACTTCTAGTCTGAGCCATGTTGATAGATGCAGACTACTTGGTTGGGGTTCGCGTGACTATCGTAACCAATGGTTGGAGACTCTTGGTGACATGGTTCAGAATCGATCACAATAGCGTAGGTGTATACACTCTCTGTCTTCCCTTAAACTAAGAGATTAAAATTACTTCATATCTTTCTTTCTACGAACTAATTCTTTCTTCCTGTACTATATCCTTATATGCAATCTTCCTCCTATATATTACCACCTTTGACCTAACCACTGCTATGAATCCGGTGTTCATCTTGCTGTGCTAATGCGGTATGGCAACCTGGACCGATGCATATATGTGCCTGGTCCTACGTTGTAGCTGACTAATTGTATCAGTAATTTAAATTTGGCAAGTTACTTATTAACTGTACATGTTTTATTCCCATACATATTCGCATGAAATACTGGCCATTTTCTCAAGTAACTTAATTATTAAAATTATCTCTAGTAAATTGTATTAATTAATCAAACCAGTCATCAAAAATATTTTTGAAAGAATAACATTCAGACAACATAGTTACTGCTTTGATAAAAAAACAATATGATCTATTTATTACGTATTGCCGTAGTTTGAATTAAAATTATGAGCCTAGTCAAACATTCGTTGTCTCATTTAATAAGTGTTTTATAAAGACTAGTATTTGAACGAAGAATATTCTTTTCGATAAATTCTCTTCAGGTTCTACAATTCATATATCCAAATTAATAATCTGAAAAATGGCCAGGTTAAGGGTAAAGTACATCGTTTAAAGCATGTGAATTTAGGATTGTGATAAACAAAATACAATAAAATTGTTAATGTTATTATGACTCATATAGAATGTAAACTTGAATCAGCTTATATGTTAAGATCCATGATCAGAATAAATATGGGTCAAATAGGGTGCAATTACAATTCGATCAAATAAGTAAGACGTCATGCGAATGAACCCATATTTATTCTGATCATGGATCTTAAAATTTCATTTAACATATACGCAGATTCAAGTTAACACTATGAGTCATATTAACATTTTATTGTATTTTGTTTATCACCATCCCAAATCCACATGTTTTAAACGATGTACTTTGCCCTTAACCTGTCCATTTTTCGGATTATTAATTTGGATATATGAATTGTAGAATCTGAAGAGAATTTATCGAAAAGAATATTCTTCGTTCAAATACTAGTGTTTTATAAAGGTTAATTACTAAATTGAAATAATCTTATCGCTTATCTACAATTAGTGAACATTAAATTTATTGTGGGGTATAATTATAACATTCAGCTTTTAAATGGGTTTCTTTATTCATCGATTGATTGATTGCTTTTGCCACAAATAACTCGAATTCGGAAGAACTGCGCTGATCATTGATTCATTCATAATAAATGCGAATGTAGTGTGATTGTTTTCTTTTAATTTTTCGATTGTGAAATGTAGCTATGATTTTACACAGTTGACTATTTTATCTTACTAAACTTTTAAGCATGTAAACGGCTATCTTTTTCTGTATAGATTGGTAAGTGGAATTTATATTGATTCAAATACTGATTTCAAGTTGACCTAAATCAACCTCCTCCCGAAATTTCTCTATCATTCATTGAATTCCGTCGATCCAGAATTTTTAATGTTCTTCCTACCAAACTCATGCTGTCAGTTTACCTGTGTGTATAGAAATGAGTGATAATATGTTATGTTGTTTTACTGTTAGCTTATATGGGTAGATGATAAAAGCGTCCACTTTGTTCTGATACCTATCTCAGTCTGTTTACTTTATTTGATTACACTTAATATTTCATTTGTCTTTTTCTTCATTGTTTTTACGTACAATGAGAAAAACAAATTCTCTTGACTTGTGAGTGAATTTAGTTTCTATGAGACTTCTTAAAAATGTTTTAGTTGATCTCTGATGACATAATTACTGTGAGTCTTTTGTGAATTTGAATTCAATGAAGTGTTAGTTATCTAGTGTTAAACAACAACTGGCTAGTTTGATCTCTTATTATTTTACTAATGTCATGGTCAGATATGTTATCATGTTTTATATGCGTTTTGGTCAAATCATAGTCATTTCTAGACAGATACATGGAAAGTAATAGCCATCATTACTTGTTTAGAACACATCTATGAATGAAATCGAACTGATCACAATAATTTTAGTGTTTAAAATTAAATACAATTAATTATTCCTACTGTTGAAGTGTTACTTGAATAATGCAACAAGATATCGTAACGGTCTAACATTTTTTATTCATTTTTTCCCAGTGTCTTATTATGACATTTAGAGTTTTTGGACGGTTCTTGTATTATGATTTTTAACTTCATTTTACCAACAAAAGCAATCGTGAGAATGTATCCAGTTAAGAATTCACGCACATTGGTTTCACCATAAAATAGAACACTATCTACTGGTTAAACTTGATACTTCCAAAGAAATTGAAAATTGGTTAGAAAGTTAATAATAAACATATTTTTTTGTTATATCCCATTGAGTAGGAAAATTGTATTTCTGACATTTCATGACTTAATGTAATCCACTTCTTCAGAGTAGAAATGGCCTTTATTCAGTCATGAAACGTCAGAGATACAATTTTTCTACTCATTGGGATATAACAAAAAAATATTTATTATTAGCCACTGGGTTGGAATTCTATTTATTTGCATACACATATGATAGTTGGTTGTAAGTGGTTGGCTTAAAATCTCACACTCATAGTTAAGTTGTACCTGCTTCCTTGACATGACTAGAGCTCTCCGTGGGATTCACACCCGCGTCGCTCAGCGTCACAGTCTGAGACTAACTGTTGTGCTGAATGTTTCATAGTGAAATTACTGAATGTGTTATGTGGGGCGTAATAAATGACGGTGATAAACTTTTTGCTAAAACTGTAAATCCTTACCGAAATAGACGGTTGCTATAGGTCGACATCTCATTATGAAGTGATACTATCTGAATGAGAATTCAATTCATGGAATGCTAATTATTTCTATTTATCCAACTGATCGTTTTTCTCATGCTAATGATGATGATATCTGAAACCAAGTGATAAGTAATGACAGTTTAGTTGTTTAATAGATTAATTTTCATCTTGTAAAGTCATTTATTCTATTTACTAAGTTTGCTCATTGATTTATTATTATTATTATTATTACTACTATTACTATTACTGTTATTATTATTATTATTATTATTATTATTATTAATTAGGAACTTGCGTATACACTAACTAAAATTTATTCATTGTTAAAGTCAAGTTAATATCGCTTTCACTACCTGCTAATCTGTTAAACTCATTTATTTCCAATTTTCGTTACTTATTTTGAAGTGGGATTTTTTCTTTATCTAAATTAATTAATAAAATGATATGTTGGATTATGAAATAGAACTAGCTGTGAAATAAATGAATTTTGAACAGATAACTAGCAGTTTTAAACATTGGTTTAATTCTGAAAATCGTTAGAAAACCTAGTCCATACCGTTTGACATCTTAGGTTGAAAGAAATAGTTAGACTTTTTAGATTAGTATGGCTTTCACAATCTAGTATGAAGTTGCCGAGGTTGTCAAATTTCACTGGAATCATGAACCGATCTAGGTTAGATAACCAGTATCAGACCTTTGGACAGCAGGTATCCACGACTCCAGGCGGGAGACGGTTCCAGTACCTTCGGCCTTGCGGGCAAACCCTTAACCTATAGAGCGCCGAATCAAAATCCAGCG